ATAAATAAATAAATAAATAAAAGTTAATGGAGTCAAGATTTATTTAGCTCACCGTCTATAGAGATTTCAGTCCATAATGGGCTGGCTCTGAGGCAGGGTGGCGCAAGCAGTGAAAAGGAAAACAGTTCATGGCAGGCAGAAGGCAGCAAAGCAAGCAAGCACGCACGCGCCTCCCCTGCTCTTTCTGCCCTTCTGTCTTGTCCAGCTACGGGCGGGCAGCACTCCTACCTATACTCCTAGTACCCTTGAGCCCCAGCACTGTGCCATGCAACCATCCCAGTGTCACACACTCAAGATCCAACCACCTCTAACAAAGCTGCATGACTGCATGAGGCTTTGGGGGGACATTGAGACAGCCACAACTTATGAGAAATCCAAGGCATAAGTAAATAAAGAGCAAAGCAAGAGATAGAGGATAAAGAAGAGAGAGAGGCTTTCGGTGGAGACACAAGACGGACCAGGGAATGGGGAGGATGGAGTGAGAGGAGGAAGGGGAAGGAAGGCAGTCAGGGTGTGATGGGTGTGTGCACTGATTCCCCAGGGTAAGTGGATGTGTTATGTGTCAGAAACTGAAATCATAAGCTCAGGCAGAGTCTGGCCCTGAGGAGGATTACTGTGAGCATAAAGTTGGCCTGGACTATGTATCTTATTTGGTGCAGGGTCTCACTATGCAGCCCAGACTAGTAGTGATCCTTCTGTCTCAGCCTCCCCAGCATGCTGGGATTACAGGTGGGAGCCACCATGTCTGGTCTTGGTGGCCACCTAGGGGCGGGGCCGGGGTGGCCTGTGGTGCAGGGATCAAACCCTGGTCCCTGTGCTTGCCTAAACAGGCCCTTAGTCTGCTGAGCTATCTCGCCAGCCCTAATAACTTATTTTTTAAAAAGAGACTTCAGGGCTGGGAAGCAGATGCGGCTTCCTGCGAGGGTGACTGTGTTTGGGCTGTCCTCAGCGATGGCTGCCCGTCAGGCCCTGGGCCAGTGCTGCGGATCACCAGTCTCGACTCCGCACTGCCTTATCACTCCATGGTCATGAGCTTCTTAAAATATCTCAGCAGGGTGGATTAAAAATAGCAAGGGGGTGGTTACCCAGTCAGTGTGGTGGCCGAGGCCTGAAGGTGGCATTTGGCCCCTGGGAGGACCTTTTAGGACCTCAGGTGGTGGCTGTGCTACTGCTTGGGGACAGGGTGAGGGAGGCATCAGCCCGAGTGAGCGACATGTAGGGCGCGGGAGCTGGCTTCCTTCCTGGTACTGCCTTCACATCAGTAGAGGGAAGTCAAGCTGGGGTGCTTGCTGGGCACCTCACGAAGCAATAGCTCCCAGCACGCAATGTCCTTGCTGACCTGACTCCTTTCCCCTGTTCTCTTCTTATTTCTCAGTAAACCCTGTGACTACTTTGGAGTAGGGGTGGGGCACTGGGGTTGAACCCCAGGCTTTTGCACTGAGCTATATCCCCAGTGATTTTTGTTTATATTTTGAAACAACATCTCACTAAGTCACTACATTGCCCAAGGTGTACTTGAACTCGTGATTCTCCTGCCTCAGCCTCCAGAGTGCTGGGGTCACAGGTGTGTGCCACCGCGCTGCCCTGGTCTGAATCCCAATTCTGTCTTAAAGCTGCTTGGGGGGCTGGAGAGATGGCTCAGTGGTCTAGAGCACCTACTTGGAACGGGCTTGGCAAAGCACAGGGACCGCGGTTAGATCCCCCAGCACCACATGCCAGCCAGCCCCGCCCCCTGGTGGGCTGAGTTGGCCACACACACACACTAAATGAATGTAATAAATAAATAAACAGCGGAATATATTTAAAAAAAAAAGCTGCTTGGCTCTGGGAGTGTAGCCACTCAGGGTCCAAGTCTCTCCCCATGGGCTCCAGATGCTGGGGTGGGACCCCCCTCTTTCTGCCTCATGTATGTAGGCAGAGCAGGTGCCCCGTACCTGTGTGCAGGCACAGCTTACCAGCAGTGCCAGGTGGGAAGGACCAGGGAACCCAACACCCTGCTCCCCGCTGGCCTTGTGACCTGGCTGCACTCCACTTGGTCTATGGGGGAGGAAGTATGTGTCCCAGGCTCCGGTGTCGCCACTGTTTGCTGGCTCCTGAGCTGGCGTCACCCAGAGGGAGGGGGACAGCTCTGTCCTGGGCAAGGGAGACAGCACCAAGCCCCGGCAGTCATGGCAGAGCCGAAAAGTGCCCACAGCTCCAACTGGGACGCCCCACAGGGCAAGGGGCCCCTGGACTCAGCATGGTCGTGGGTAAGGCTGGGCCGCAGGGCTGATCAAGGGCTCTGAGTTTTCCAGATAAGTGGCTTGCCCGCTCCTCAGCACTCCTGATTTGGAGGCTGTTTCATGGGGCTGGGGGTCAGTTCTTGCTCAGGAGCTAGCCAAGCGTGGTGGTGCACACCCGGAAGGCCGAGGCAGGAGGATCCCCAATTTGAGCCCCACCTAGCCAACTGAGTAGGCTCCAGTCTGGAAATAAAAGAAAGGAAAGCTGTGGGAATGTAGCTCAGAGTGAAGCTGCTGCAAGGGTTTGACCCCCAGAGTGAAAGCACAGACCTAAGGGGTGCTCTTTGCTTATCTGGGGCAAGTACGCTGATGCTGTGAGAGCCTGGGTGTTTTGGGGGTGTGGGGGTGGCTCCCCATCCTCACCATGTATCACTGTGGGCCACCACAGGGGGTATCTGCTGGCATGGCTGGTTGGAGACCTCGTCCTAGATGCCAGCTTGACTGGGGGTTGTTTGGAAGTGGGAATTTTCATGGAAAACCTCAAAGCAGAAGCAGAGGAGGCCGGTCCCTCCAGGCGGCAGTGGGAGCGGAGGCCCAAACGGGTGGATCCCGGGCTGCCGTTTCTCCAGAGGCCCCCGGGTGGTGGCTCGGGGATGACAGGGTGCCGGGCCATCACCCTAGATGTGTATCCCTGACACCCCTGGAGTTGATGTGGCCCCAGCTTCACAGAGCTGGTCCCTCATGGAAGGACGGGGGTGCTGGGCACCAGGGAGCGTCCCAGGAAGGAAGCTGACCTGCTGCTGGTACCTGAAGCACCCGTCTCATCACTTTGCCATGCTTTGAGGGTTGCCGTTTTATTTTTACTATTTAAAATATTTGGTCTCTCTAAGTCACTAAGATGCCCAGGCAGGGCTGGGACTTGGGGTCTTCCCGCCGGAGTGTCCCAGAATGCTGAGGTGACAAGTGTGCCCCACCACTGCTGGCAATGACGACCCTGTGCTTTGTCTGGGACAGAAATGGCTTGGTCTGCGTCCCCTCTGAATGTCCTTTGGGTGTGTCTCTGCCTGGTGCAGAAGGGGCTGGATTCCTGCGAGGTGAATCCACACAGTGTTTGGTGCTCTTCTTGCCAGCCTGCTCTCAAGGGGCCGGGGGCAGTGGAGACCCTGGGGCTGCTCCTGCGGGGCAGAATGAAAAGCAGCTGTGGTTCCCAGTGCAGCCTCGTTCTCCCCTGGGACCTCCTTACAGGGTCTGCAACCTGAGGAAGCTCCGATTAAGGTCTGATTTTCACGTCTTTATTGATGATTTGTTACTTTGCTTAATTACAAAAGCATGCCCAAGCTGGGCACTGTAGCGCCTGCTGGTCATCTCAGCACTCAGAAGGCTGAGGCAGGAGGATTGTTACCATTCAGAGGCCAGCCTGGGCTTCCTAGTGAGACCCTGTCTCAAACTCCAAAGTAAAAAACACAAAAGCGTGCCCAGTCTAAACACCAGCGTGCAGAGGAGGGTGTAGCTGCGATGCTGGAATGTGAGGTGTTCATGGCACAGGGGCCTGGGGGTTTTGTGCACAGGGCTTAAGCTTCATTCCTTGAAGGCTTTCTAATCCGAGCTGGCGAAAGGACTTGAAATCCACCTTTGTGCTGCCCAGCCCCCACTCTGCTGTGCGTTTGATAAATGACCTTCAGGAACTTTGACCTCCACACTCTTCCTGAGGGCTGTAGCAGGGTTTGCGGAAGGGGGATTGGGGTGGGAGCCCCAGGTACACCCCAGGATGCCTGGCTCAGCTTGGCTCCCAAAAGTTTCTCCTGGGTGCAGAAGGCCTGGGGCCCCTTGGCTGGGCTCTGCTCCTGGGAGAATCTGCCCTGCTGTGTGTGGGGGCCCCAGAGTTGAGTGGACAGTGCCAGTGGCCTCAGGGTTTCTGCCCTGGGGTGCTATCAGGACAGCTGTGGACAGTGCCAGGCCCTGGAGGGCTGGGCCTGAGAAGCAGATGGGAGAGGCCAGTGCTGCAGCCACCCTGGCCCTGGTCCATGCGGATGGCCAGCTCTGGGGAGGGAAAGGGCAGAAACCGGAGCCTACAGGGTCACCTGCTAAGTTGGCACTACTGCCTGGGCGTCAGCCACAGAAGGTCTGGCACCAGTGAGGCCCTGGATTTGTGCAGGACTTGGAGGGTGAAGCCATGGGGAGACCTGGGCTCCAGAGGAGGCAGGGCGTCTGTGCTTGGGACAGAGCCTGCTGCGGGTGAGCAGGAAGTGGGAATTGGTGAGCTGGGGATGGGCAGGAGGGGGAGGGAGCAAGGGGGAGGGGAGGGAGAGGAGGAACAAAAGGAGTTCAGTACACTGAGCAGAAGGTCCCTTCTAGGTGTCAGGGGGAACAGACCTCCCCTAAAGCTCGATCTGTCCTTGGCTCTTGAGGTGGTTCTTCTTCCTAGCTCAGGGCTGGCGTGGGATGGTGGCCTTGGACCCAGGCCCCAGGCTGTGGACACTATCTGGTCAGGGCCGAGTCTGAGATCAGAGAGAAGTGCGAGTGGGTGGAAGGTTCCCAAAGATGATCTGATTTCTGCCAGTACAGCCCCAGAGAGTCATGGGGAGAGGTGACCACCACTGCCTGCAGCCATTGGCCCAGATCCTGCCAGGATGCTTGAGGGATAGGCCTGGAATTTAAGTCCTGGCCAATGGGGAGTGCTGTGAGGTATGTGTGGGGGGGTCATATGAAACTGTGGGGCTTGCTTCCTGTTCTGCCATGGACAAATGCTAAACTGTGACCCAGCAGGTGCTGACATATGAGAGGAGCTAGAGAGTGGGGTTAGGGTAGGAAGGGAAGCGAAGGGAAGCGAAGGGAAGCGAAGGGAAGGATGGAACACTGGGGCCCATAGCGCTAGGGAGGTGGAGGCAGGCACGCTGACCAGGGCTTAGCTGGTTGTGGAGGTTGTGCAGCTCAGGTGTGGCCTCACACAGACATGCAGTGTGGTGCACTGAGTCAGAGGGTGGTCCTGAGAGAAGGGATACCCACGGCCTGGGCATGAGGGTACAGAACATGCCCACCAGAAAGAGAACCCCATTGCCCATCCATGGGCTAGGAAGTGCCCCAATGAGATCAGGAGCTGTCCTTCTGTGTCTGCCCTGCTGTGGGAGAACCGAGGAACATATTCCAGAGCAGGTGTGGTAGCACACCCGTGTAATGATAGCACTCTGAAGGCTGAGGCAGAAAGGTTACTCAGCATTTGAGGCTTGCACTGTATAATTCAAGGGCAGTATAGACTAATCAAAGAAAGAAAGGAAGAAAGAAAAAGCAAGAAGATAAGCAAGCAAAGAAGCAAGAAAGTTCTGGGAAGATGGCAGAGAAACATAAATAGCCTCTCTGAGATGTTTTGTCCAGACCCTGGGATAGAATAGCATAAGGAAGAGAAGGAGGGAGGGAGGTCCCCAGGACCCAGCAAGGATCTGAAGCAAGAATTGAAGAAGCCCACAGGGAAAGTGAAGAGAGATTTCAAAGAAGAGTGCACTCTCTTCTTGAGCCCTAACTTACTACAGGAGAGGGGTGGCTCAAGCCTATAGATGCACTGTGACTACTGGTGACCCCAGAGACCTCCACAGAGAAACACTGTGCTCCAGTGGAACGGAGCAGTAGATGCAGTGGACTGCAATGGCTGGTGAGTTATTCCGGTTCAGAAATGCTCCAGGAAAGTTCAATTGGACAGTAGCCACCTTGGAGGGGGCCAGCTGGGCTCAGAACTCAGAGCAGGTGTGGCCCGGTTCCATCCAGCTGGTCCCAGTGTCAGGGTGAGGAGGACTGAGTTTGAGTCAGCAGGAGGCCAAGGAGGCCGGTTCAAACCAGTAGGAGACACTCAATGTCGAGGGCTGCATGAAGAGGGCTCCAGCCTCACAGCCAGAAACCGCCTTGTACCTCAGTGGAACTTCAGAGTCAGAGGCGTCCCAGGCCTCTGGGATCATCCACTACCTCTCCGTACAGCTGAGGTGGACTTGCTGGGGTCAATCAACACTGATCTGGTCCTGCCTGCCCACGCTGCCTACCAGCAACAGCAGTGACAAGCCTTGAAAGGAACCTTTTTCCTTTCCTTTGTTTTTGATATTTGTTCATTTTTCTCGCTTTCATATGAGTTCAGTATTATTTTGCTGTTGATTTTGTTCTGTAAAAATATACTACTTAGCAATACAACCAAGTTCATTCTGGAAGCAAGCATCTCCCTGATACCCAAACCAGAAAAGGATCCAACAACAACAAAAAAGAGTTCTATAGACCAGTGTCCCTAATAAACATAGACTGAAAAATCCTCAATAATACTGACAAACAGAATGCAGCAAGTCACCAAGAAGACGACACGGTGACCAAGCAGGTCTCATCCCAGGGATGCGGGGATGATTCAACCTATGAGAACCAGCAAGTGTTATACACTAGATTAACAGATTCAAAGACAAAAATCACATGATCTTCTCAATAGATGCAGAAAGAGCACTTGGAAAAGCTTAACACCACTTGTGATTAAAAACCCTCCAGAAAATAGGACTTTTCTGTGGTCTTTATGAAGAGGGTCTTTATTTCCATCTGATAAAAGCCGTCTATGACAAAGCAACAGCCAACATCATACTGCATGATTAAAAATGGAAAGTTTTCACTCTAAAATCAGGAATAATAAAAATAAATAAATAAAATCAGGGGCCAGGGAGATGGTTCAGTAGAATAAGCGCTTCCCTGGCAAGCACAAGGGTCTGAATTCAAACCCCGGTCCCACCAAGAAAAATAAAGAAAATCAGGAATACGACTAGTTATCATGGACTAATCAGGCCTAGAATCTTCCAAACAAGTGGATGAAGAAAGCTTAAATGAAAGAGTCAACTGGTATAATTTTAGGGCTCCAGGAGGTTCAAAACCTTCTAACAGATTTCAAGAATCTATGGGGGCTAAGACAAAGACTTCTCTGGGTGACACATATTTATTCGGTTTTCAAGCAAAGGAGTGTGGAGGGATGCTGAAGAAAATGTGGGAATCTTAGTAGGACCTTAGGAGGTATTTTC